GGAGCCCAATGCGGGACTCGATCCTGGGACTCCAGGATCGTGTGCAGGGTATTATAATCAGTTGAATTCTCAGATATCATCCTTAACATCAGAAGCTTATAACTTAATTAATGGTAAACAATGCTAAATAAGAAAATTAATATAATAAATGATTTTAATAACAACACAGTACAAGAGACACAAAGTACTACTTGATTAATTTGTCGATTGAAATTAACAGATAAGTGCTACAGAGTAAGTACTATAAAAGTTCAAGAAATGGGCAGGACCACCATCTGGATGGTCAAGGAAGGCTTTATTTATGGATTTGAGCTGGGTCCAGAAGGATGGAAAAATTTTAACAGATATTCCAGATGGCAAGATATAGAAGTGAAATTTCAAACAGGGAGAGACATACAAGGAGTTACCTAGGGTGGGCAATTATTGAGGGATCAGTGAAACTGGATCAAGAATTTATTTATATAGTTAACATTAGGACACAGTTGGAAAGGTAGATAGGCATCATATTATGCAAGCCTTGGAATGCCAGTCTGAGAAAGGTATTGTATTACTTTAAGCAATGGGAAGCCCTATAGCACATTCACATAAATCTTATTGCAGTATATTGTTATAATTGTTCATTTTATTATTAGTTACTGCTGTTAATCTCTTACTTTGTCTAAATGAGAAATTAAACTTTATCATAGGTATGTATGTATAGGAAAAAACAGTAATATATAGGTTTTGGTACTATCCATAATTTTAGGCACCACTGGGAGTCTTGGAACATATCCCCAATAAATAAGCAGGGACTATTGTATAAACAGCTGGTCAAGAAGCTGTACTGAACCCCGATGATAATTAATGATTCAGGCCAGCATCAAAAATGAATGCTAAAGCCTTCAGATAAATGGCTATTGGGGAAGAAAATACTCACAGTGTCTCAAAGTAGTAGTCCACAGATAATTAATCACAAAGGAGAAAATATATGTTTATAGAAAAAAGTAAAAAATCACTACCTAAACCAAATGATCAAACTTAGCATCACCAACTGTTTAACAATAGTTAAATATAGTTTAACATGTTAAAAAGTTTAACATGATGCATCCCTTGATGTGATGCAATGAGAAGTTTAAGACATTACCAACATAGTATTCTCGCCAAAAATGTTTAACCTTAAATGAATCCTGAAGAAACAATTTGACAAATCTAGAATGTAAGGCATTCCATTAAGACAACTGTTCTGAGCTTTCCAAAAAATTCAGTGTTATAAAAACCATCATTCCAGGGATGCCTGGGTGGCTCAGTTGGTTAAGCATCTGCCTTTGGCTCAGGTCATGATCCCACGGTCCTGGGATTGAGTCCCGCATGGGGCTCCTTGCTCAGTCGGGAGCCTGCTTCTCCCTCTGCCTGCTCTGCCTGTTCTGTCTGCAGCTCTCCCTGCTTCTGCTCTCTTTCTCTGACAAATAAATAAATAAAATCTTAAAAGAAAACACCATCACTCCAAATTAAAAGAGACTAAAGAGATTAAATAACCAAATGCCATGCACGAACACTGATGGGGTCCTAGATCAAGAAAACACACACATAGGAGCGCCTGGGTGGCTCAGTCGGTTAAGCGTCTGCCTTCGGCTCAGGTCATGATCCCGGGGTCCTGGGATTGAGCCCCGCATTGGGCTCCTTGCTCTGCGGGAAGCCTGCTTCTCCCTCTCCCTCTGCTGTTCCCCCTGCTTGTGTTCCCTCTCTCTCTCTCTGTC